ATTTCTGGAGCTATTATTTGCCGCTAAGCGCCGCGTTTTTGGCCGGGACGGATGGTCGGTCCCGGCCGTAACGATTTGCATTGTTACATAGAAATACACACTAAATATACAGCCGTGAAAAAGAAACATACACAAAATCACATAGTAAACCAACATGACGTCTAGGGACATTTAAGAACTGATAGAAGAACATTTTAACCGTTAGAGTGCTACGCGGCGCAAAACTGATCCGATAGTTTGTGTCGAAAATTGCGGCGCGGCGCAAAACTGCTGCGCAGGGCAGTGTTTTTGGTGCTCCGTGGGAGTAAACGTATTCTAACCTCGCGCATAATTTGTTACTAGAGTGCATTCTTATACTTTTAAAAATAATTTTTTACAGTTATTATATATTATATAGCAAAAATAACCATGTCACGTGCTTTTACTTCGGGCGATGATTCGATCTCTAGTGATTATATGGAGAGTGAAACAACGAATTCAAACAGTGATGATAGCAGTATTATAATGCATCGAACAAAACGATTGAGGATTGAAAGTGAGTCTTCTACTTCAAATTCATCTTCAGAAACAGACGAAACATCAACTTTCGCCAATATTCCTCCGACAAAAGTGTTTTTTAAAGCAACAAATAATTTTTTCGAGACTTCTGGACCTAGACGGGCGCCTCCTCCTGATGCCACACCCATAACCTATTTCAATTTATTTTTTACTATGTCATTGCTCGAAACCATCGTAAAGGAAACAAATCAAAATGCTACCCAGTTTTTGGCTTCACATGCAGCTTCTGCAAATTCTCGAGCAAAAAAGTGGACACCGACAACAGTACACGAAATAAAAGCCTTTATTGCAGTCTTAATCGAAATGGGGATTACGAGAAGGCCAACAGTTTATAGTTATTGGATAAAAAATTCCCGATATATACCATGGTTTGGAAAAATGTTTTCAAGGGATAGATTTCAGCTGATTTTGAAGTTTTTTCACTTGGTTGACAATAGGTTATTATTTGAACCAGGCCATCCAAATTATGACCCATGTGGCAGGTTTGATGTGCTTGTCAAACACGCAAACACTGTATTTCAGCGACATTACATACCGAACCAACAATTGTCTATCGATGAGTCGTTAGTTGGTACTCACTGCCACTCTGCCATAAAACAATACATCCCAAACAAGAAACATCATAAATGGGGGATCAAATTTTGGATGCTTTGCGATTCGGTTTCTAAATATTGCTTGGGCTTTTTCTGCTACAAAGGAGCTAAAGCACAGACAACAGAGATTCAGTAAAAAAATATGGTCTTGGATTTGCAGTAGTGCAAAAATTGCTTTCAATTGGTAATTATCTAAACAAAGGTTACCATTTGTTTACAGACAATTTTTACACAAGCTTACGCCTGGCCAAATCCCTTTTGAAACAGAATACATACCTAACTGGAACAATAAGACGCAATCGAAAAGAGATTCCTCCAGAAGCTAAGAAAGCAACCGTAGGAGAAGCCAAATACCTAGCACATAAAGATATTTTGATGTGTTCTTTCAGAGACAAAAAGTCCAAACCAAACCCAGTCATATTGATCTCATCCAATGCAGATACTGAGAATGTGACGATCAAGAAAAAGAAAGGGAATTTTGAATACGAAAAGGTGAAACCGAGCGTGATTGATGACTACAATAAATACATGGGAGGTGTGGATGAGTCGGACAAAATGTTATATGTGTATTTGGACGAGTGAAAAACCCTAAAATATTGGAAGAAAGTAATATTCAATATATTTGGAAAAATGGTGCTGAACTCTTATATTTTATATGTCTCAAACACTACTGAAAAACAAATTACTCGGCTCCAATTCACATCGAAGATTATCGAAGATATCGAAAAGGAGTGGATGAATCATAAATAGCGTGTCAACACAACCATCTTCATCAACCAAAAGATTTGCTCTGGAAAAATTACCAGGACGTAGCTTACGCCAGTGCGTGGTGTGTAGAAAAACAGGGAGTGTAAAGCGATCCCGACTTATTTGCGCCCGCTGTAAGAAAGGCCTACATGCTGTTTGTGCGGCAAAGCATACTTGTTGACATATTTTTCTTTATTACTTTTATTTCCAAAAACGAAAAAATTAAGAAAATAATATTGATATGTTATGTTTATTTTTTTATTCATGTCAAAACATTTTTCCTTTATAATAAAAAAAGAATTATAATAATTAAATCATATTTGTCTGAATTAGAGTGTTTTATTTGACACCATTATTCTTTCCTTTAAAATAATCAAAATAGGCATAGCACTTTTCATACATATTTACAACAATTGCTTAGCACTAAAACGGTTAAACACCAGAAAACCAATAGACATAGCAAGACAAACTATTTAGAACAGAATCCGGAATCTAGGGATTTTCCCTAGATTGCTAAAAACATGGGCAGTAGACGAAACGACACGCGGACAGTACAAAACACTGTACACAGAAACAGACACACAAACATACACGTGATTAAGAAAAGGAAAAGCGGATTATTTTCTCTACTTGAATCAAGTAACACGAACGTACCCAGCTAAGGGAATCTTGCTCGCGCAAGCTGCAAACGCGGCTTAACCAACTTGCGCGGACAAAAACCAGGGAGCGTAAAAAAGTGATCTACGAACCTTTGTGGACGCAACATGCGTTAAACATAGACGTCGCGAATAAAAAAGGTTTTAGCACTCGATATTGCTAGAATATGCTATCCGAGCATATCAATAACATTAGTGTTAGTGATATAATAAGCAGTTATGTAATCTTTGTGAAAATATATATTCTAAACTTATACTTACGTGATAGAAGTGAGTGTAATACTTTACCTTTCCTGGACATTCATATCCTCGGGTTGTAACCTAAAAATAAAGGAAAATAAGAGGCATCAAGAAGGAAGGATAGACGATGGTGTTAGTACGTCCCAAAATAAGCACCTGGCGACCGTGGAACCTAAAATAAGTGAGTACTTTAATTAAAAATGTGTAAAAATCCGGTCACAACCTAACCTAATTAACTCTTCCATTCTTTGAGCAACAGCAACAGCAAATTTTTGATTCTAAGACAATGAAGGATGGTAAAAGAGGAAGGTAGGTATTTTTTTATAATTTTCATTTTCACATAAAGTCCGTAACGAACTGATCACCTGTTACGAGCACACACAGATGACTTGCAGCTTTTCAAGTATGCAGCTAGCAGAGACACACGACAAACACGCAAGAATCAATACAAATAATGAAAAATATATAAATAAATAAAATAAATAAATAAATATAAAGACACGGCGCACTCCCACACAATAAATAAATTTAAAAACCTAGATAGAAAACACGCCACATAACCTGCCAGCTGCCACACTCACTCAACAGTCGGATTTCGAACTTTTGCTCGGAGCCGGCCAAGCCTAACTCCTGGAACCGTAATAAATAAAATAAACTTACAAATGACAGTCCTCATCTTTTGGACACCTCAGAAGGCCTTGCAACGCTTTCCCTGGGCTCTTTGGACAGCCGCTAACCTCTAAAACGCACTAACTCGCGAAATCGCGTATTTTGCAATTTTACGATTTTTGGCCCGGTAAACCTTACTGGCTATTAAAACTATATCAAACTGACTTTCAGAACTTTATTTTATACTAAACAAAGGCTGGGCCAAGCCCGATGGCATTGCAATACCGGGATGACCCGTAACAGAGCCGGAGCAAGCTCCGGGAGTCCGTCCAGTTCCAAAAATCAGTTTAATATTCTGAGACCGCTTTGCGGTCTGTATCAGATATTAAGCTGATAAGAACAGAGTAACACTTGTTTATTTTCACTTACTGTTCCCCGGAGGGACAAGCTCTCTCAAGGTGGAAAACCAAAAAAAAGTGTAGAGACAAACGGTGTCGCCCACGCTCACGCGCAAAAATTAAATAAACATTGGCCGGGGACAAGACCCCCTCGGCTTGAAGGCACAAAAAACTACGTGAGAGGAGGCACATACTTACCTTCTCCACTGAGGGGTAAGATGCAACTCCTTATCGCGGCTAGGGTGTTGTGATACAAATATCGCTTCAGCTAGCCGGCGATATTTACAATATGCGCGCTATGGTAATGTTATACATATGTATAAGCTCCCAGAACAAAATGCAGTGCCTAAACTAAATACAAGGGCCTGGGAGCTGCGACGCCGCTGAACAGTGAATATGTATTCTTGGCGTTACTCCGTGGCATGCATAAACCAAACAGCATGCTACATAAAAATAATCATACTAATAGCGTAACGAATAAGTAAATACATAAAACGCGACACACTCGGCTAAAATACAAAAACAATAGCACGCGGCATACACACACGAATAAAATACAAACGAGAAATTCGCGACACTCAAACTCGGGGGCCTGCATAAAAATATAAAAGTCAAAATTAAAAACAATAAAATCAGATAAAATAAAATAAAAATAAAATTAAAATGTCCTAATGATAACTTACGCGACATACACACTTGAAATAATTTACACGCATCTAAACATAAAAACAAAATACGCATTATTCAAAATATTTTACGCAGGCGAGCAGGACCCTACACCTGGCGCCCGCGGTGCGCCAGGATCGTCATCTCCCGTTCCCCGTAGCGTCGGCGAATCGCTCGCGTATTGGATCGGAGCGTTCCGCCAGGACACCGAGCAGCCACCGCGTAATGCCGCACACCGGAAACGTGCTCTACATATATATTTCGCGACCAGCGTATGGTATCGGAGACCATGAGACGGCGCAACATCGCTGCATACGTGTTAGAAACACGCAGCAACTTCAGCACATACTCATTTCTCAGGTCCCATGAACCACGGGAGCCGATCACGAACGGCGTTAATACAACACGGTACCCTTTCTGTGCAAGGGCCTCCGCAAGAGGGGAGTATTTGGCGACCTTCCTTGCTCCTGCCTCATTGAACGCCTCACAACGGTTCTCGAAGGATGCCGTGACGTCAATAATAATAATGGACCTTGACTGATTGTGACGAATCACGAGGTCGGTTTGCAAATTCGCGAATTCGGTAACCACCTCGATCCGCTGATTAATCCGGACATCACCCGGCAGACAGGAAGCCTTAGCAAAGTGGAGCAACAGGTCATCATGTCTGAGCTGTATCGCATCACCGTGGAACCCACAGTGGTTGATGACATGGGGAAGGGTCTCGGCACTCCCTCCGCACTGCCGACAACGCGCAGTGCCTTCCCCCTACCGACGTGCGCCGTTGAGCGGCAACACGTTAAGTCGGGCTCGGTGCAAGAAACGCCAGTCGGCGAAGCGGGTAAAGCTGCCAGTGCGCATAAAGTGATTGCTCACTTCATGACGCATGGCCACTTTGAACATCTTTCCCTGGTCTTTTCTAGCGAGCATAGTGCTTGTATAACACGACACGATAGCCAGAAGCAATGTATGAATGACCTGCGCCCGTGCCTCTGGTGGAATCTTCACCAGGGTGCCCCCGACTTTCCAAAAGTAGCTCCCGGGTCTCTTCCGCTCAATTCCAGCGGATCCGCAATCTGGAGGACTGCCGTCTACACGCGTTCCGCGCCTCGGATTAATGGGAGCGCTCTCCACCGTGGAATTTTCTCCCGAGCAAGCCCGAGTGAAACGAAGCAATGTCCTGCTTTGTCGGTACCAATTCGCCGCTGAACCACTCCTCTCAGCGACGCCCACGCCAGGTCTCTGACTCCAGCGTCGCCAGCCGTGAGAACACGGAAGACGTGCGCTATTGTCAGGACGTCGGCGAGGTCAGCGAGCGGAAGCAGGCCACAGCCCCCCTTGTTAGGAAGGAGGTAGACCACCTTCGCGTTAGCGCCTTGGGAGGTTGAGCCACGAATTGACCAGCATCCTTATCTGCTTGTCTGTGACTTTAACAAGGCCTTTCTCCACTTTGGCACCCCGCAACAAAAAGTCGAGACGTAGCAGGATGCAAGGTGCTACCATCTCGACTCGCTGCCGCGGGGTTAGCAATGAGCGCTTGACGCGCTGCAAGTCCTCCATCATGCGTTGGATCGTAGAATAGGAGTTCTGATCGACGGAAAACCCCGTTGGAATGCCGAGGTGCCAGTAAGATTTTTCCTCCGCAAGGCAATCATCTCTCCCTGGAACTTGAAGGGGGTCAGGAGGACGCGATCCACCCTCCTCGCTCGGATGTGCAAGCTTGCACACTTTCCGGGGTCGAACCGCCGACCCACTGACCGCAATTCGGTTTCCACGACGGTGAAAAGTCGTCGCATCCCCTCTGGAGTATCCGCGTTTAAGGCGATATCATTCGCGTACGCAAGTGCGGACCACCGCTGTCCTAAGATGTTATAGCCCGTATCTACTGCGTTGGCCGCGCGCAGCACGGAATCAATTGCAAAGTCAAAAATTATTGTACTTAACGGGCATCTCTGTTTTCCTCTAGAGGTGCGGTCAAACTGACCTGACCAAATACTTCAATCACTTTTATTCTATCACTTTCATAAAAGCGGTCAATGAACATTATCAAAGTTGCAAACGTTACACCTCCGATACGGTCAAAGTAACGATATAAATGCTTTGAAAGTAAACCGTTATATACATAACTATGTATATTGATATGGAATATTTGTGTGGAATAGGTAGATAAGAAAAATAAAAAATGGATAGAAATAATAAAACAAAATAATAATTACTCTGTAACGGAGCCGCCGTGTTATGCGCGGATCGACCGGCCTTCCGCCTGCCGGACAGCTCGGTCAGACCAGGATTCGGGTGAGGGGAAGGAAGAGATTGCGACACGTTCGGTTTTTGTGCTGTAAACTCAATGATAATATATTCTATAAAGCCTGATAATCTACAATGTCAGAGACGCGGGGCTCCTAGCCCTTACAACCTGTCGGGTCGCGGCCTG